CCTTACACCCCCCCCCCCCCCCCCGCCCCCGCCACAGTACAATGGAATGATTATCAGTCATGAATTTATCTAAAAAAAATTGAGTTTTTAGCGTTCGATCCTTTACGTCCCATTAAACCTTCGACACGCGCAATGCAATGTAAATAGACTAAATGCGCGAAAAGTATATGGTCTTCGTCTCCGTAAAAACGACGAGCCGATTAAGGAGGCGAAAAAAGAAGTAGGGGAAATATTTGTATAGGCGAGGACTTACTCGACGCCAGTATTTTGTCACAGTGCTGCTGCAGATGACCGATGAGCTGCACGCACAAGGCATCCCGAGCGAAATATCCCTCGACCTCCACGAGGAAGTGCATCGCCTCGCTGAGACACTCCTGGTAGCCAAGTCTGTAATGCTCGGCGGCGCTGGTACTCGTCGGTGACGGATGAGAGACACTGTCGACGCTGTCCTCCGCGTGCACCGTGTGTATCGATGAGACTGGCGTGTGATGCTTCGAGTCTGTGGGTTGAGGAAAAATAATTATAAACTTGCTTATTAGATTCGCAATGTTCGGTCATTCCAGCTTTGTGTTCTTAGATAGCACGGGGGAATTTGAATAACGCCGCTTTATATTTATCGCGCGTAATCGTAAGAAAAAAACGCATTTTAAAGGCAAAAAATTATTCCGATTTTTTTTTTGAATTACTCAATAATGTCAGCAATATGTTGAAAATGATAGAGCCAATTAATCTCGGTTTTATATATCTACGTATTTCACAAAATCCGTTATTCCTAATTGCATTCCTTAAATACATTGAAATTAAAAAACTTTCAGCCTTATAATAAGATTGTTAACATTTTTTCTTCGAGTCGGAATAATCTGATTCCGCGTAAAGACACTACTTTCATTGACAGTTTGGTAAAGAGAAAAATTATAAAGGACAATGATAATTAATATATTGCGCCTGTTTCGGTAAAACTATCGTGTATCGAGTTAAAATAAAATTGTAAGGCAACGATCGTTGATTGAACAATTGTCCGTAATGTGTGTAAAGTTAAAGGAAAATTTGTAATGAACAAACTGAAAAGTACGTTTTCAATTCACTTTTCAATGATTAACAAGCGAAAATTAATAATAATTTTCATGAAATTAAAGCAACTGCTATTAAAAGAATCTTATTAAATAATATATTTCGTAAACATCATTTAGTAAACGTAAATCCTTACTATTTATTGAAATAACTCAATTATACCGTTCGCATCAAAATTATAAGATTACGATTATGGATTATGATCATCTACCTTGTCTAAGACCTTGAAGATGTTTCATGTGACGAATGGCCATCTCAATTATTTCCGTTTTTTCAACTCTACCCCTTCCCTTTTTCAAATACTCAGCGGGTATTAATCTACTTAAATCTGCCAAGCAGTTGTTCATACGATCCCGTCTGCGTTTTTCTATGATTCTGTGCGACATCGGATCTTGCTGAAACATCAGAATGTAATAAAAATATTAATATAATACAGATTTATATGCAATACGACCGAGCCTTTACGCAAATACTTATTTGTTGTACTTATTTGTATATTACTAACAATTACGAACAGATTTAATGTTTGACAACAGCCTAATCGATTTAAAATCTAAATTAAAATTTAAAATCAATTTAAAACCTAATCGATTAATTATCATATACATACACATCACACTAAATCAATCATTTACTTTTTATAAAAATTTTAATCCATCTATACTACGATAATATACGATATATTTTAATAATTTATTAACTATAATTTTTGTAAATTACAGTACCAATCATACAAGGGAAAAAAAGAAAAAAAAAAAAAAAAAGGCACCTACAATATTAATTATGTTTTTAATGCCAACGCACCTCTGAAACGGGCCGTTCAGTATAACGAAACTCTTGCCATCTAACAGCCTGAAAAGGATATCACATAAACATTTTAGAGTGCGAATCCTTAAACATAAGAGGATTCATTAGAAATGCTGAAAAGGAAGCTAATTGAAAATCATCCTACTTATCTCTAAACAATCGCACTAATGTGCTCACTTTTTGACTAAATTTACCAATTCAAGTTGAAAAAGAGCGTTTAAACGCACAATGTGTAATAATAATAATAATAATAACAATAACAATAATAATAATAATAATAATAATAATAATAATAATAATAATAATAAATAACAAGTAATAATAAATAATAATAATACTAATAAAGATGATGATGATGATGATGATGATGATGATGATGATATTTAACAAAAGAAAATTTTTAAGTGCTTTAATGTAAATAAGTCATTTTTAAAATATATTTTTACATTGTCCATTAATGCAGAGGATAATACTCAAAAGCAAATATAAAATTGCCATTTCTCCTCAATTAGTAGGATACAAATAATTATTACTTTAATACGCCCATAATCACCATAGTCGTACAATCTATAATCACGAAATTACAAATTACATAACAATATTATAATATTCCATTCGCAATAGCCATTAAAAGACATTCGCATAATTTGACGGATAATTTAAATTTATTTCCACGTAAAGTACAGCACCACTTCCACCTAGGGTAGCGCACCAACATACTCACACGGGCAATCGAAACAACGGGTAATTATAATTAACTATTAAAATGTCAACCATTTAAAATATCTCCCTTTCGTAGGACGAATATTCATTCGCTTGCTTCCACAACATGATATTATCATTCTATCGTACGCGAATGGAAACGAACGGAGGAGAAATCACGTACCACCCACGATCTCGAACAATCCCTCATTCGAATTAATCCCACCGGCACAACTCGATCCGATCATCCGATCAAGCCACACCAATGACAAATACGGCGCAAAACGAATGAAACAAAACGAATAAAACATAACGGATAAAGCTAAACGAATAAAAGAAAACAATTAAGATGAAAATAAAAATGAAAAAACTACTTTAAAATTGCACGTTCGAGGGGGCGGCGGGGGATCGAGCGAAGAGCCCAACAGGCCCAGCTGTCTAAAGAGGCCGAGTTATGTGCCGATTAACCGAAATAAGAATCACCTCTTTGGCAAGGCAGCGCTTCTTCCTCGACGGTGGCGAGTGTAGGCCCTCGTCGCTCATCGGCTCGTAATACTGCATATTCAAAATGTTCTCCATGCTGTGCGTAACCATTGTACGTTGGGCACTACCGTACGTAGGATCGATCGATCACTAAGGCCCCGAGCACCGACTACGCGCGATTCCACAAGGTCGCATCACCTCTCGCCGAATCGACGCTTCGTCCGCGAGATCCGCGGGCACAATAGTCGGGCAGCCGACGCCGCGACGCCCGCGGAGCCTCCGCCTCGTCATCCTCGAAGGGGCCGCCCCACCACTGTCCGACCGAGTCGTGCGCGCGACGCCCCGACTTACGACCGAAGCGATATCACGTGTCCGATGGCCCGTAGCTCACTTGGAACGTTACCTCGCACGTGAGTCGCTCCACGCTGAGGAAGAGCACGGCGACTGGGCACGTTTTTCTCGCACGACGACCGCACGACGACCGCACGACGACCGCACGACGACCGACCGACCGACCGACCGACTCCCCCTACCCCTACCCCTACCACTACCACACCGCTAATACCGTTCCGCTCCACCCACCTGCCGTCGACGCCTTACCCGTAAACCGACTAGCTCCTAACGACGACGTCCCTTGTCAATTCGGGTGAGAGCCTCGTGGCGCTTTTTTACGACGAGTGCAAACCTCGGGAGTGCGTGTACACCACGCGTTGACTAAGCTCTCGCGTCGGATTATGTTTATCCAACTGCTACGACTCAACGTCGAGTGGAAGATTTTCTCGTCTTTCCTTCGTCGTTTCTATTGTTTAGCCGCGGCATTTGTTAACGGCTCTCGCTCTTTACGCTCTATTAACATGTTTAAGCTTCTAAAGGACTTGCCACTACGTGTGAATGTGTTCTTTTTCTTCTGTCTTTTATTTTATTCAGTCTTTCTTTTCTCTCTTTTGTTTTCATCTTTTTTTTTTTTTTTTTTTTTTTTTTTTTTTTTTTCAACCAACGAGTATGGCAATTTCGGATGTATTTGTGATAATGTTCCTTTATCCTGAGCCTATGAGTCTCGGCCCCATTACCATACTTATAGTAGTGTAATTAAGCATCTTAATTACCTAAACTCGTTATTTCCCTTGTGAAGATACTAATCTTAAATTTGTCGAGTCAGGATCATTTTTCAATACGACTTTCGAGGGCATTTCATTGGGGAAATACAAAAAAAAAAGAATAGATATAAACGAATGGAACATTAAGTTATTATACACGAAAGACGTTAAGAGATTATTTATATAAAAAGGCTGTATTACACGAATTTCAATTTTTATGAACTTCAATGGATCGACGTGTCACGAATAATGTTAAATAAATCTTGAGCTTTCGTTTAAATTAAAATCACCTATTTCTGTGTTAAAAAAAAACAAAACAAAACAAAAACAAACAAACAAACAAACAAACAAAATAAAAATAAAAACAAAAATTAAGCAACAATCACAACAACAAAAACAAAAAATAAAAATAGTCATCATTTGTTAGTATATGTGTCAATTATAGGAAATAATAGTTAAATGCTCGTAAACTTAAAAGCCAAATATGGTCGAAAAATAAAAAATCGAATAAATATTAACCTTGATATAATAAAAGCAGACATCTTTGGAATCAAAAACAACGTTTTAATAGAATTCAACCGATTACCAAATATAGTGATCGCTACGTGACACTTTGCACATCAGCGCTCTATTCTCATCGAGCTCAAACATCTCTGTCTTTTTTTTTTCTCTTTTTTTTTTTGTCGTTTTTTTTTCCTCTTTTTTTTTCGTAAGCCTATACACGAATAATATACAAAATTTCAAGACAGCTAACGATTATTGACTAATTGTCATTTATCATGGGACACGATTTTATATGTAAATATTCTTTACAAATTTTTTTCTGAATCTCGATCAAACTACCTAAAGGTCATGCTTTAAAATTCAAATTTTTTTTTATTAGTAATTACAATAATAATAAAACCTTTGACAAACGTAGCTAATTTTACTTAATTCCCAATACCGAACGCATACAAATTATAATTATACAGATATAATAGTGTGAATAGTGATATAACGTGAAATATGTTTACGTATCGAATTCGTAACTTGCAGCAATTGCTCATTTATGCAACTGTATTGGTTTTACTGGCTTTAATTGTGTCAGATAAGAGGTCGTTTTGTCGTTTGAACAAAAAAAAAAAATCAAAATATTAATTAGACATTAGCTCGTACAAAGTTCGAGTAATTTAATGCTGACTTTTACATCTATTTTTTATGAGGGAATAATATACTTTATAAAATTGCCATTGGCTCGCTCAACCATTGGCTCTTAAAGATCGCTAACTTCAAAAGTCTCAAAAACTAAGTATATATTTAGAGATAATCGCGGCACACATTGCCGGCTAGACAATTATTACAAGCATGCAATAGGCAAACACAACCGTATGTACTTCGTTTTCATGTTTTAAAATGAGTTGGAGAAACGGATGCAGCAGACGAGTTCGTGGGGCCAAGACATAGGTCAATCGATGAGTCCGGAATTTTTCTGGAGCTCATTGATAAGAGCCGCGCTGACTCGCGCAAGAGGATAACGAACTGAAGTAAGTACAAGCGTGCGAGCCCTAATTAATAAAATAATGAGGCTGATAAGCAATCGACTCGACGTATACGTATGAAATGAAAAAAAGAAAAGAGGAAAAAAAAAAAACAAAACATTTGAAAAAAAAAAAAGAAAAGAAAAGAAAACTAGCGTTGGTCAGCGCATCGTGTGGGCGATTTAAAAAATTTCACTCTCAGCGTTAATCGTTAAACTAAAATATCTTACAAATTATTCTGGAAATTTGATTTATTGCATTTTATGAATTTATATTAAAATCATCCGTCTCCTGTATTTCAAATGTTTATCGTAAAATTGGCTTATTTCATCTTTATCCCACCATGTAATGCACAATTCATTACTTATATACATAGTTCGAATGAAAATATCTACAGCTAAAAATAATATTTATTTCTAACTATTGTCTTTTCCATAACTGATTTCCATAACTATATAAATATAATAGAGTTTTAGGAAAAAGTTTTCGAATATAAGGAACATTTTAATTTCCAATTGCTCATCCAAGTTGCTGACAAATAACAAAAGACATAATCATTATAAAATGATATAATATATGAATGACATATATTATATGAAATTTGTTTAATTATTAATCGGCAATTTGCGTTATAAATTATTATGAATTTCGATATTAAACTTCATTTTGTAGTCATAAAAGTATGTTATTATATCAAAAATTAGAATAGAAAATTTATTATGTATTTAATAAGAAGCAATTTAATTATCGACATCTTCTTCGTACGTTTCTGTGCGTGCGTGCGAGCGT